TACCTGCAGCTGTTTTTTTTTTTTTTAAGGGGTATTATTTAGTTTAGAAAGTTATTACAGGGAACAGCTACCAAAAAACAAACACACACACACACACACACACAAAACCCCTAGAAAACAACACACACACCCACAAAACACAAAATCCTCCACAAAACACAAAATCCTGAAGAAAAATTGTCTGTACATGACTGATTTCTTCAGTCTCTCAGGGACTGAAGGTCTTCAAAAGGCACCCAAAAGTATAAATACATTGTTTTTAAAAGATAATCCTTTTTTTTCTTTCTTTTTAACAGAAATTTCTACTCTTTGACTGCTTCATGGATATCACATTTCTTGATTATCCTCCTGGCCATCATCAATTTTTTAATTGCATTTTTACTTTTATTTTATCATTCCATTTGAAAGAAAAGGCACCTTATTGTTGACTAGATCAGTCTTTACGTGGATGCCAATACGAGAAAACATGACCTATTTCAGATGTTTCTGATATGAACCTCTTCTATGCCTAGCAAGCCTACACACATAGGTTTTGCTTATTTTTACCCTTTCACAGAATCATAGTTTGTGGCCATTCAGAAGGGAGACACATAGGACCAGAAAGGAAGAAAAGGAAACTCTGTCCTGGAAACTCAGTCTGTACTACTGCAAGCATCATATTTAATTCCATAAATTTCTCAACCTTGAGCTCAAACACACAGATCTGCACATTAGAGCGTTCAATGTAGAATCATCAGTAATGACAGAAGATGAAAAACATCCAGAAAGCATATCTCAGTATAGATCAATAAAACATAGTATCAACAGCAGAAAATAGAAGCTAACGAAAGCCCTTATTTACAGTAATTCAAGTTTCTTTCCAAAATATTTCAAAATGCTATATTGGCTCTGGTAACAAGCTGACTTCTACTGATTAGTAGTGCTGCTCCAATTTCTACCCCAAGGCAGGCCAACACCCAATGCCACAAGCATTCAGCTGCTTTAAAAAGTTAACGTCCAAGTTTACACCTACATATCCCACCCCACAGACGATGTGTAATACAGCTCAGCCAGCAACAAGGATCAGGGCCTATTTCCATAAAAGATGTTATCCGAGCAGGTGTGCTTTTCATTCCGTTCGGTTTTATTTCTTTTCTTGTTTTTATTTTATTTTTCCTGAAAATATACACAAACAGAAAGAATACAGTTAAAAAACATATATATAATGTTTTAATTTGCATGTGTAATCAGCCCTTAAAGATGTTTCCCCCTTGCTTTGTCAAGGAAGCTGTGGAGAGCACAAACACTTTCCTTTGATTTCCGTATTGAACTTTTGGACGAGATTTAGGTGGTCATTTTGCATACATACTTCTACTGTTGTTACCAAAGATGGCATTGTACGAACACTATAGTGAAATTCCCGGGCAGGGGGAACCCCCCCCCCCCCCCCACCCACACACACCTAGCAAGGCGTGGGGGGGTGGGCTTTTGCCATTGGAAGTTACAAATTTGAGAGATCTACCACGGTCGGGACTTAGTCATTTCTAGTGAGAACACCTCCACACTGTAGGCTTTTTCCTAGCTAAAGAGATCAGCTCTCTTTTTGAGGCTCAAATAGACATTTCATATACCTCGCCCAGGGTCACACAGTAACACTAAATTAACCCAAAATGCAGTAAAAATACAAAAATAATTTTTTGTGATTTACAATGAGTTGTGGGCTGTTTCCTGTTTATAAGCTATAGATTACCCATCCCACACTACCTGATAACCAGACTCTTAACAACCTATGTCTCCAGCAGAATCAGCTAAGGTGACTGTGTTATCCAAGACCTGGAGAGGAAGTTTGTTAAGTCCTATTTTGGAACTGTTTTCTCTTAAACAAGTTACATAAATTTTGTCCATAAATATGGCTGGTGTTGCAGAAAATACCTATAATAAAGATGGAAAACTTATCTCACATTTAACAGCTTTAGTCAAGAGACCATACTGAATCCTTTTGTACATAAAGCCCTTTTAAAATGTAGATTATTGATTTGATTGCATAAATTCATATCACAGTTCAGATCTTAATAACACACTAAGTATCATAAACATCCATTAGCTATTTAAATGTGCCAACTTTTAGAAATCTGAAATTAGGTTGCTTACTAGGCTTTTAGATGAAATAAGCTTTAATTAGTGTTCTATTCTGTTAATATGCACTAATCATATTAATATTGCTTAATAGATTGACAGTTGTGAAACAGGCAGACAGACTTATGCAGTAGCTGATTTTCCATCTTTCCAGTATCCAGCTGGTTTTGTCATAGATCTTAACAGTGACAAGTAGCATTTCTGTAATAAAATGGGGTGGGGTTTTTTTTTTGCAAGTTTTAATCAAAATATACTGAATATTGTAACATTTATGACTGTAGAAGTAGATTAACAGTTCAATTCAGGACAAGGCACAAACTCATTCATAAGTTTGGAAAATGGACTATAACAGCAAAAATTCGCTATGCTTTCACCACCTCCTCCAACTACTGGCAAAATGCAGGAAGTGGGCTGACCCTGCGTTCAAATATTTGCTGTGGTTTCTCCTGCTGATCTGATGATAGGAATTTTAACAGACAATGTGCCTCATTTTTGCTGTGTCATCATGAAGGACCTTCCTAACAAAGTCATTATTTTAAGTAAAATAGATCCTTCCCATATAAGTATATACTTCAGCAGCAACTGTAGAGACCAGACATAGTACCCAGCATTTTATAAGCTGAAATGCCATATATTTGGTCCTGTTTCTCTTTTTTTGACTGCTGAAGTTTTAATGAACTGACATTTATTTACTGAAGTAAAATTACTTTAATTTTATCACATTCTTATTCTTCAAAGAATTTAAGTGGCCAGACTGTCACAACAGAACAAGTTTTATGAATAGACGTCATTAACGGAAGCATATAGAAAACACCAGAGCGTTATTTAAGACTTTTTGTGCATGCTGAATCCTGCACATTTGTGATTGGTCAAAATAATTTGAATTCAAAGGCTCCAGGTAATAATGAACGGAAGTAGATTATATTTGATTTATTTCAGTTAATATGTGAGTTACTTGCAAACACAGTATTTTTTATTGTTGTTTTTGTTATTACTGTTAAAAAAATAGCTCTCCCTCTCCAAATCAACCCCCTTAAAAACACCCAGACTGGTGAAGCAGAGGAGACCAGTGAGATCTATGTACCCTGACCCTCCTTTATGCCTACAGTTCAGTCCTTGTGTAGCAGCAGTTTTCTTCGGGAAACTCCTGCACTGCTTCATTTTGTTGTTCTGGAGCAAGCTGGCTTTAAGGTTTGGTTTTAGGTACATGTCTCTATGTTGGATTAGACCAAAGTTCTAAGACTAAGAGTGATAAATGAAAACATTTTAAGATAAATTAGATCAGGCTCATCTGCCTCATTTCGACATGACAGGTTATGGATAGAACCAGGATTCAGGTTATACATTTACACAAGTCTATTTTGCCACAAAATTATCTCAATATCAGATTTTTTTTTAAATCTATGTCAAGATTTCATTTTCCATCAAAATAAGTGATT